CTCGTTGGTCACCCCAGTCAAGACAAACTCGAACGTAGACTCGATTATTCCCTTGGGGAAGCGTTCAGCACAAGGTCCATACGTAACAGGCCTTTCAACACTACACTACTACCGTCGTGCCCCTCCATGGCCATACGAAGGCGCGTGCGACCGCGGGGGTGATACTTGTACTCTGGCTTGCGTAGTAGTAATGCTGCGTACTGTAGTTTTGAACTCTGTGGTTCGATGATCTTAACTTTTTAACTGCTGTGTGCATATCGGGACGCAGTATGGAAATCATACCACTCGGGTATATAGAAGGGTGACATCCTGATTTGTACGCGCTCCCTTCTGTGTCCATCGTCGCATCTTCATGTACCTACGCACCCCTGCATTGCTGGAAAACAGGTGTGTGTGTGCAGAAGCCTGTAGCTTAGTCTCAATTAAAACCGGCAGTCATGTCTCCGCGTCGGCCTCGTATTGCTGTACATGTTTGAAACCTCATCCTCCGCGCAGGAGCATGTAGGCTGTGGCAAGGCGACGGCGAGAAGACAGCTTTCCACCTTCTCATTCAGGAATTGTGCCCGATGCAGCACGAGGGCAACAAGGACAGGGCTAAGGCGTGGCGCGAGATCTACAAGAGGCTGCGGGACGACCACATCGTTCTCAACCTGACGGACAACAAGGGACAGACGAGGGAGGTAGTGGTGCGCATGGGCCCGAGCATGGAGGTGCGTTGCGGATGTATATGTTGTGATGCTCATGCTTTGGGGTTGCGCCGCGTACTATCTAAGTTGGCAGAACGAACGTGTTTCGATAGCTAACCAAACTCAGTACTTGATGTAGAGCCTAGCCCCTACCCCAGTACCGCGTCCTAAGTGCTCTCCGGTCGGACACCCTTGGCTACGCATGTCGGGCGTGCTTTATTTCTCTGTTTTGGTGCATGGTAGAAAGTAAATCCACGTGGTAAATACTCCCAAGTGTACACCCCCCCCCAATCCCCTCCCACACACACACACAAACACCTCTACACACCCCTCCCTTGTCGTGCACACGGGCGAACGTGCGGACATACCCAGGGGCAGACGGACGCCGAATGTTCGTCATAGTTGCTGCTGTGTGTGTCGACAGAGTGACATAGAACAACTTGATCGGACAGTTTGCATTGCGGGACTGTCTGCGTTGAAGATCGTTGAGTAGCCACATGCTATTAGAACGCATGAGGGATTGATGACGTTACTTGTGAAGTAGACCGTCTGAAACCCTGGAGGAAGTGTTTGTGATTGCTGACAGCGAGGGTTCCGTAGGGTTGAAGGTTTGTGCAACCTTTTTTCTCCCAGCGCAGTGTTTGATGGCAAGTAATGAAATAGCTTCGGTGGTCTTGATGGAATAATGGCTTCTTTCGACAGAACAGTAATTTTTCGATGGCATGCTCATTTCGACTGCGTATCATCTGGTAGAGAATAACTCTGTTGGTTCGGTGTTAGCTGCCCTCACTCCTTCAAACCCCAAGCATGAATCTAAGATGGATGTGAACGAGTTTCATAGCATTTATGCTCACTCACATGAGGGATTACTTCGTACAACAGCAAAA